TGGTACCACCGCTTTGCCAGCTTCATTCAGACCCTTGGGTTTCGCAGCTGCAAATCGGACACGTCTCTCTTTGTCTTCACTCATGGGACAGACACGGCATATTTACTTCTCTATGTCGATGACATCGTTCTCACGGCATCCTCTGATCATCTCCTTCAGCATCTCACACAGCGTCTCAAGGGAGAGTTCGCTATGACTGATATGGGCGATCTGCATTTTTTCTTGGGCATAAATGTACATCGCACTTCCCGTGGGCTCTTTCTTCATCAGACACAATTTATTCATGACATTCTTGAGCGCGCTGGGATGGTCACCTGCCGCCCCATCTCCACCCCTGTTGATACTAAGTCAAAACTCTCCTCTACTGCTGGACCAGATGCATCCGACCCCTCCCTCTATCGCTCTGTTGTTGGTGCCTTGCAGTATCTCCCCTTTACTAGGCCAGACATCACATATGCAGTTTAGCAGCTCTGCCTCCATCTCCATGCTCCACGAGAGGCGCATATGACAGCTATGAAGCGGGTTCTCCGATATCTCCGTGGCACCACTACATTGGGCATCTCCCTCACTCCTTCACGCACGGACATTCTACAGGCATACTCTGATGCAGATTGGGCAGGCTGCCCAGACACTAGACGCTCTACTTCTGGCTACTGTGTTTTCCTTGGTGATAATCTTGTCTCCTGGTCCTCCAAGCGGCAAGCCACCACCTCTCGATCCAGCGCCGAGGCCGAGTACCGCGCCATCGCCAATGCCGTTGCCGAGGCCAGTTGGATTCGGAACCTTCTCCTTGAGCTCAGACATCCCCTGCAGCGAGCCACCCTCATATTCTGCGACAATGTTAGTGCCGTNCACCAGCGCACTAAACATGTCGAGGTTGATATTCACTTTGTTCGCGACAAGGTCGCATTGGGACATATTCGAGTTCTTCATGTTCCCTCCTCCTCCCAGTATGCTGACATATTCACTAAAGGACTTCCCTCGGTTCTCTTCCTGGATTTTCGCACAAGCCTGGGAATTCGTCCCCCACCGCAGCCGACGTAGCCGGGAGCATGTTAAATATATTTAATATATATTTATGTTAAGTATATTTAATGTATTTATTATTATATCATTGTATTATTGGTAGTTACCTTTTGTATAGGTTTCCTTAATTATACTCCTACCATGATTAGGAGTCCCATCTTGTATATAAATATGGTTGTACTCCTACACAATTAATCAATCGAAAATATTCATTCTTCAATACGTAAAGAGTTAAAAAAGGATCAAAAGAAAAAAGAAGCAAAAGAAGAGACGGAAAAAATACTGAATAAGAACAAAGAAAAGAAAAAAAACAAAAAAATAAAAGAAAAGAGGGGAAAAAGAAAGAAGAGAAAGAAAAGGGAGTGAGTTGAAAAAGAAAACAATATAAATTATGGGAGTGTAAGGAGAAAAAAAGATGAAATATGGGTCAATGTGAAAAAATAAAAATTCAGATTTTGTAATTTGGCCCAAAGTGACATGCTGGTCACCTGGTAATGAGCAAATGGACTTTTAGTAAAAATATGGTAAAAGTTTAAGTACTTTTGTAAAAGGTTTTGAAGTTCAGGTATCAAATCGAAATAATCGTGAAAGTTCTAATACTATTCTTGAAATTTATTCAGTCTATTTTTTCTTTTCTCATCTTTCATAAATAATGAATACTCCGTACATGTTTCTACAAGTAATAGATGCAGATTTAATTTCTTACCACCAATCTGAAATTAAAATTCAATTTAGTGAGAGGTCCAACGGATCATAGGTTGGGGCTCATCCTTCATGATTAAGGAGTACGAGGTACTACAGATAGTGAGCCTGTTTAGCAATAGCATTAGGAATTAACACTGGAAGTCTAAAATGTTGTCCGTACAGTGTATTCCATTTCATTTTCTTTTCTCCATTTATTTCCTCCCAAATCCTCCGACTTTGATACTTTTTCTTCGAGGCCAACCCTATGAAGACAAAGATCCTAGCAAGTTCTCTTTCCTACTGCATTTTTTTGAGGTTTGAATCATCTTAGGTCGAGCAATTCTTTACCCGAAATTGCAATTTTTTCTTCCGATTCTAACAACAAGGTTTTTATTGCTTTTTCTCAAATTACTTTCTCAGACTATTCTTGCCGACATTATTTTTGTTTTTTGTTGTTCTTTTTCGCTGACACCAGAGACGCACGCAGGGAGGCGCAAGGCGAGCTTGGGTTAGGGCTCGAGCCCGAGCTCCTGGCTCTGGTTTCCAACAGGGAAATGGCATGCAGATGAGACGGAGGACAAAGATGAACAGAAACGATTTGGAGCAACCACCTGAAGACGATGCAACGGCGAATCTGGTGTCAAAATCCAGAAATTTCAGGTTCAAAGGTTATCTTCGTTGGTATAAACGTCAAATTCATAGTTGTTCTTTCATATTCTTCGTTTATTTATTGTTTAGCTTTGAATTTCTGCGTGTATGCATGTAGCTGGATCTGACGAGATTCAAATTTGGCTTATGAAGTTATTTTGAAAAGTTTCTTAAGTTCCTAAATAAAGTGCAGAGCGGTTCCATTGTCACTTTTTAGAGCACCTATGGTGATCTGTTGGAAATTTGATGGTTCCTGCCTAACTCTCCTAAACCTCACCTCAACCTCCTCCCTTTAATTGCAGGCAGTGTTTAATCAGCGATTAAGTGGCAGGGGTAGTGTTTTGGTGAGGGCTTTAGGGGTAGGTTCCACCAGTTTTGCAAACGGAGAACCGTAGTGGCGAGTGGCAACAAAATTAATACAAATAAAGTAAGAATTATAGGAAAGTGTTTCTAGACTAATATGTGGTGTTAATTTCAAGGCTAAAAGTATAATTTGACATCAACGTTATGTCCAGTGACGTATTCTGATATTGATTAGATAGATAACACAAAAATAATGAGTATGATTGTGGGCTAAGATTCCGACAAAAGACCACATCTATTGACTATGCTTGTACTAGAAAACGACTGTAATTCACAAATGACGCATTAGGAGCAACATTTGGATAGTGTATGACAAGAAAGATATATTATCATTGTGAAATTGTACTTTTAGCCCTCAAATTAACACCATCATGATGGAAGATCAAAAAAAGGATTATTTGTGGAAATACACCCATAAAAGAACCACTTGGGTAATATTTGATAATAAAGAACTAAATAGGGAAACCCCCATGTTATAAAGGACCAATTATGGAATTTACTCAAACCAAAATTGAACAAGAAGGGTCCCATGGATATGTTTGTTAGTCATACTCGGCAACATAGCGCAAAGACAATGAACAAACAAAAGGATTTAGATGAAGTAGCACTTAAAGAATTACGAAGCCGAGCATGTTCCGCAATAGAAGGCTGGATGTACGATGCTGCCTTTCCTTTTAATGCAGTAAATTATGAAAGCTTTCAAGAAATGATTGATGCATTTGGAAAGCATGGTCCAGGAATGAAAGCTCCATCCTTTCATGAGGTTAGAGTTCCTTTACTTAAAAAAGAAGTTGACCTTGTGAATAATGCATTGGAAGACCATAAAAAAGAATGGGTGAAGCATGGATGCTCTATCATGTCAGATGGGTAGAAAGATAATAGGGGGGACATTGGTTAACGTTTAAGTTAACTGTCCTAAGGGCCGTGTGTTTGTTAAATCTCTTGATGCTCCTGAGCATATTAAGTCAGGTGAAAAGATTTTTGAGCTTCTTGGCAAATTTGTGGAAAAGATTGGTCTGCAAAATGTGGTACGAGTGATCACTGACAATGCTTCAAACATGAAGTTAGCAGGTAACATAGCAGAATTGAATATATATATATATATATATATATATATATATATTTAAAGGTTTAATTTTTTAAGGTTTATTTACATTGAAATTAGTTGTATTTTCTTTGATTTGAAATTATAGGAAAGTTGTTGATGAGAAAATATCCAAATTTGCTTTGGACGCCATGTGTTGCTCATTGTCTGGACTTGATGTTGAGGACACATTCAAAGAGGGAGATATTCGTCAAGTTTACATGAAAGCATTGAAGATTAACATTTATATTTATGCTCGCCCAGGTCTTGTGAATTTGATGAGAAAATTCACAAAAATGGATTTAGTGCGACCAGGTGTTACACGTTTTGCCACTGCAGCTCTCACTCTTGGAAGGTATCACTTGTTAAGAAAAGAGTTGAGAACTTTATTTGCTTCCGAAGCGTGGACAAAAAGCAAATGAGCGAAGGAGCAAAAAAGTTTCAGTCACAAAAAACTATTTTCACAGAGTCATTTTGGCGAGGAGTTTTGAAATCTCTTAAGGTTTCAACTCCACTTCTTAAAGTTCTTCGTCTAGTTGATGGTGAGACCAAGTCTCCAATGGGTTATATTTATGAGGCGATGGACAGAGCAAAGGAGAGCATAGCAAAGAGCTTTGGAGGTCATGAGGAAAGATAAGAACGTTTCTATGAAATAATTGATCTTAGGTGGGAGGTTCAACATCACCACCTTCTACATGCAGCCGGTCATGTCTTGAACCCAGAGTAATTTTACTCAAGTCCAATGATGGAAAAAAATGAAAAGTTGATGAAAGGGTTCTACAAATGTCTTGATACGTTGGTGCCAGATATTTCGATGCAGGACAAGATTACAAATGACCTCATACTTTATAGGAAATCAGAGGGCACATTGGGATTTAATGTTGCCAAACGACAAAGAAATACCAAACCAGCAGGTATGTAATATTTCAAAGGTGTACGATAAATTTGTGTCTCTGCAAGACTTCGCTATCATATCAAGGTCCTTAGCTTAACTTCTAGTGCATCTGGTTGTGAGAGAAATTGGAGTTTTTTTGAACATGTGAGGAGTCAAGAAACAAATCCTAATTTCTTGATATCTACTGTATGTGATTTAACAACTCATACCTATAACATGGCAGGTGCACATCAAGAAGAGAAATAGATTGGACCAAGCTAGGTTGAATGACTTGGTATTTGTCAAGTATAACAAGCTCTTATGAGGCGCCACAAAATGCGGGATGTGATTGATCCGATAATATTGACAACTATAGATGATTGTAACGAGTGGTTGCTAGGTGAGGAATGCTCGGAGGAGACCATTAATGAAATACCCGTCCGTGATGTATCTAGAACATCCGGAGCTGAAGAGCCGATCTTCTATACTCGAAGGCAAGGAAAGAATGGTTCAGGAGCTTCCACACATGCTACTCCACGAACACATTCAAAAAGACCTACCAACACGCGACGACTTATTGATGAGGATGATGTTGAGGATGAAGATTATGGAGAAGAATGTGAACTCATTGGTGCTAGCACTACAACAAAGGATGATGCTTTGGTTTTGAGTGAGGAGGAATGGGTAGATTATGATTAGGGCTGAGCAACGGTCGGTTTCGGTTTGAAACCGAAAAAATCGATCTTTTTTACATGGTTGAAAACCGACTGAACCGAACCGATCATAAACTAAAACCGATCGAACCAAAACCAAAAACCGTCCATTCAACAAAAAACCGACCAAAAAACCGAATTTTAATTACTTTTATTTTGACTTTTTAATATAAATTCAAGAAACTAATTCGGCAAGGTAGATTGATATGTATTAAATTAGTTTAGATTAAGACTTTTCTATTTTCATTATTTTAGTACGGTAGATTAATTTTTATTTGAATATACACTATCCATTTCATATAAAAATTGCACTTTTCTTATTAATATATTCAAAACATTTAAAAACAATTTTTTTTAAAAGTGAAACATTAAAGTTTTTCATGAAAGAGTAAGAAGAAAGCATGTGTGTTAATCAAATATTTTCTTATTCTAAAAAATAAAAAATAAATTAAAATAAAATCATCGGTTATTCGGTCGGTTCGGTTTTTTCTTAAAAAAAACTGAAAACCGACCGAAAAACCAAAAAACTTAAAATACTTTTTACATGAAAACCGAAACCGAACTTTCGGTTATTTCGGTTTTCAGTTTCGCGGTTGGTCCGGTTAATTTGTTCACCCCTAATTATGATTAAGTTTGCTAGATCACTACTATATTTTCTAATGTTTTATGCCTAATAACTTTATAACGTTTGTTTTCTTGTACCAGCAAGATGTTTTTGTTTTCCTTTGACAATTATATATTGTTTAATACTTTTTGATATGCCATGCATTATATATATAGACATACATACATACATACATATATACTACCTCCGTCACAGAGTATTTGTCCACTTTCAATTTTACACACCATCCAATACACTTCTTTAATCCATTTTATCTTGTACTTTGTATATTAAAAAATTATAGAAATTATATATTAATAATCTATATGTTAAGACAAATCAAACAAGATCACACATGACTATATTTAGGCTTACACATTGAAAGAATTTGATGAGTCAAAGTGCTTAGATGAACAGTTCCAAAAGTCAAAACTGGACGAATACTCTGGGACGGAGGGAGTATATATATATATATATACATACATACATAGATTTTGGTTCTGGTGAGAATGCAATCTTATGAAAGAAATAAGAATGAATCTGGTGCTTTAAATTGTGAGATCTAAGGGTCAGGATTGCATCAAAATTAGGTGCACCAAAATGGTTTGGAAATGCATCATGTCAAAATGCACCAAAATCCTTTGAAAATGCACTATCTCAAAATCTGAGCGCAGGTTGCAATCTGAGCCGCACGATGCATAATATCCAAAGGCTAGATTTTATTCTTATTTCTTTCACTAAGGTGCATTCTCACGTGAACCAACCCCTGCATGCATGCATGCATACATACATACATACATACATACATACATACATACATACATATATATATATATATATATATATATATATATGCATTCTCACGTGAACCAACCCCTACATACATACATATATATATATATGTGTGTGTGTGTATGTGTGTGTATACACACACAGTGTGTGTGTGTATTTGCTTTTTTTGTTTTGTCATTTGACCGCCCGCCACTCGCCATGCCACTCGCCACAAAAAACATCCGCTCGCCCGCCACTCGCCATTCATAACTATGTTTCCCATTTAAAGTATGGATCCACTTTCTAACCAAAAGGTTAATACATTTGTTGTGCTTCACCTTTCTTTATACGGGAGAGGTATTCATTTTACTTATCCGATATGGGACGGGATCCCAACAGCCATGGGTAAGTTTCTTGCATGTTGTATCTTTCGGACCCTCTAATTTGTACTCTGTATATTTTTGTAATTATATATGTGATTCAACAAACACTATTATTTTTTCTTTTCTATGGTCTATCTTGTGGAATTTGACTCTAGTTGAAACATGGTTCATCAGACATATTTTTTGTAGGAGGATATTCTTAAAAATTTGTAGGACAATATACTTCCACCACAAGCGCAAGATTGACATCATTTTCGTATGATAAATTTTTGGTCCCACCAATTGTTACACTTGTTTTACATGGTTTTGGTCTTTGCAATGCAAACCATTGTTAATTTGGCTCTTATGTGTATCGGACACAATGCCAGATTAGGGTTATATTGTTTGAGGCTTGTCAAATAGTTCTTTAAGGAAAGTTGTGTTGTGGTGCTGACCTTGTCTTAAATCTAGACATTTTGTTTCTAATATTTGTGATACTCTTCGTCTTCATTTTTCTTTGGCAATAGTTAGTGTAGAACATAAAGATTAGATTCAGGGGGCTTTTGTTACCTTCGTTCAGGAGTTTTATCATTTTCCAGTTGGTTCTTTTCTAGAATCCTTTTTGGTAGGTTTGTTTGGTTTCATGATGTGTAATTTGCAGCGTAACATGCCAAGTTATGAGTTTATGAACTCTGGGCTCATTAATTCACTGATAATGTCTAAATACTCCCTCAGTCCACAAATAAACTTTACATTGTGCGCTACGATGTTTGACTGAAGTTATTTTCAAATCATTTTATATGAAAAATGGTGTAGAATTGAAAAATAAAAATTACATATTAAAAAACTATATCAAAAGATCTACAAAACTAGTGGTGACATGATTATATTATTTTATGAAATGGGTGACGAAAATAGGCCAACAAAGTGAATAAAGTTTGACCATGTGAATAGTGAATAGTGAACGTAAAGTTTATTTGTGGACGGAGGGAGTATAGTTTACTCATTATCACTGATTTCAGTGCAATTAAATCTGTTTCAGTATTAGTTTTAGTGCACATTTGCATCGTGCCGTTTTCAGTTTTTGTCTGACAGAATAATTTTGCATTTCCTCATCAAGGGTTATCAACAATGCCCTTAAGTATTGTTAACTTATCATTATAGGCAGAGTGGATGATATATTGGGCTTGTCTGGTCTATTAGAATTAGAATTGAGTATGCTTCATTGTACAAATCAGATCTCGTTAATGTATAAGGATAGAACTTTGAAGGGATTGAGATGTGTTTTTCTCTGACAGATTTAATAGAACTGAATGTGAATTGTTAAGTTATGGGCAAACTTGTATGAAGATTTGAATATAATGTTTTATTTGATCAGGTGGAATTGGCAAAAGTAAAAAATTGACTAGTTCTTGTATATGTGTTGGAAACATGATAGAAGTGTTTATTGTTTGCCCTTTGCAATGATAAAATATACCGTGTGGTGATATAGTTTTGGTCAATGTTCGAAAAGGCGAAACGTAAACGCGCCTCAAGGCGCGCCTCGGAACTTTTTCCGGAAAAAACGCCTCAAGGCTAATCCCGTTTTCACGCTTTAGGCTTTTTTACGCTATTCTCTGAAAGGCGTACGCCTTGGGGCGTACGCGCCGGTGCGCGCAATAAGGCTTACGAAATTGGAAATTAACCAATTAAAATTTTGGGTATTGAACCGTTTAAGTTGTCAATTACTCCAATTAATTAACCCAATTGGAGTATATATCCTAAAATTACCCAAAATTAGTGTCGATTACCCTCCTAATCTTTGTCGATTACTTTTGGCGAGCTACGAACCGTCTCCAGCCGTCCAGGTCGCCGTCTGCAGCCTTCTTCTCCGGCGAAAAGGTATGNCGCAATAAGGCTTACGAAATTGGAAATTAACCAATTAAAATTTTGGGTATTGAACCGTTTAAGTTGTCAATTACTCCAATTAATTAACCCAATTGGAGTATATATCCTAAAATTACCCAAAATTAGTGTCGATTACCCTCCTAATCTTTGTCGATTACTTTTGGCGAGCTACGAACCGTCTCCAGCCGTCCAGGTCGCCGTCTGCAGCCTTCTTCTCCGGCGAAAAGGTATGTAGTCTTCTTCCTCGTCTGCAGTCTGCGTTCCTTTCCCCGAAAAGGTATGCAGCCTTCTTCTCCGGCGAGCTGCGTTTTATGTTTTGGGTAATTGTTCATTTGTCCTGCGGCTTCTGCGTTTTATCTCTGCGTTTTTCCAGTCTTCTTTCCACCTGTTAATATCCTCTTTTTTTTCTTATTTTTTTGATTACTGATGTGCTAATTGTTCTTTTTTTTTGTTTTTAAGATGAATTATTGCATAGTATCGTATTGTTTATTCGAGCAAAATTATGTTTGATTCCATGTTAGACTTTGTTATGTTTGCGATGTATTGCTTTGACAATATACTCTTTTCATGTTTTTGGATTATTTATGTTATACATTATGTTCTATCTTTGGTTTTATATTATTTTGTAAATGTTTTTCAATTTAAAATTGAGGCTTACGCCTCAAAACGCCTCAAGGCTTACGCCTTACGCCATGAAATGAAAACACCTCAAAACCGCAATACGCCTTTTCGAACATTGGTTTTGGTTGGTTAGTGTTAGAACGAACATGTTTGTCCTAGTTTTTTCCCAAATATCAGTTAGTGTCTTTTTTCCTATAACTGAATGAGATGATGAAGATGATCAGTGAATTTGGCTTTGGCAAATGATTCTCTTTAGTAAGATCTCAAAATAGAATCTTTTAAAATTCATTAATCTGTTAGCTAAACTTCACACGCTAAGTCATTGCAGCCGTGTTTTATGGGACTTTGTTTTCTTCTCCTAAATATTCTGGGTTATACAAGTTGATTTTTTCAAAAATTATAAGCTTGTGAAAATGATAAACCCTCAATATAGTTTCATAGCCAACTGAGTTCACCTCATAATGTGGAATTGCCATTTTTCCAGCAAGAAGACGGTTTGCCTTGAAAGCAACTCAAATTTGCAGCTTAGGTTTGTGGGGTAGGTCCTTTATTTACCTTTACTACAGTAACAGTGAGATCTTTTGATTTCACTACATCCCTAACTTGTGAAACATGCACGGGAAAGAAAATGGGATTTGAAGGTTTCACTTTAAAAGCTTGCTCTAGTTCCTTCAAAACACTAGGCGTGAGGTCAATCTTCGTGCGAGCTTTATACGCGTTCAGCTGTAGCGTGACCAATCCTCTATGTTGGGCGAATTGAGTGTGGAGGCTCGACCAGGAAGGGCAGCCAGCCCTAGTCTTGGTTCGACCCATACGGCAGTAAATTAGGTTTTTTAATTTAGCCGGCCCTAATTCTCTATGTGGGCTGGGCCTAACTTGGGGATTAAGTTTTCAACCCTAGTTTAGTCTTCATAAATAGGGATCTCTGTACTTCTAATTCTGTGAGCACCTGGATAATAAAAACCCTAGTTGCAAAGTGGATTAGGTCAGCCGACCGAACCACTATAAATCTTGTGTTCCGTTTTCTCTGTTTTAATTTCTGTTTTGTGTGTGTTCTTGTTTGGTTGTGGTTTGCTATTCAGTATTCATAGATACCCCAACAACTGGTATCAGAGCCTTAGGCTCGTGATCGTTGAAGTCTTCCCTCGGGTTCGTGGAGATCAGGTTCAAATCAAAGATTAGGGATTTGAAGGGTTTGAAGATCAGTTCCGCCACCGTCATAGTTTCCGCTGCAGAATACGGTCTGTACTGTCTTGTGAACAGTAACCGCGCCGCCGTTGTGAACAGCCACTTCTGCTAGGGTTTTGTTTAGCCGCCGCTGCTAGGGTTCCGAATAGCCGCTGCCAAGGTTAGTTTGTTATTGGTTTTTTCAATCTCAGATCAGTTTTTCAGCCGTGTATGGAAACAATGGCAGATGAAAAGATAAAGATTGAAAAGTTTGATGGAAGTGATTTTGGGTTTTGGAAGATGCAAATCGAGGATGTTCTTTATCAGAAAGACTTATACCAAACGTTATCGGGAGAAAATCCAGAAAAGATGAGTGATGCAGATTGGGCAATTTTGGACAAGAAAGCTTTGGGAGTGGTTAGGTTGTCATTGGCGAAGAGTGTTGCTTTCAACATAGTCAATGAAACGACTACGCATGGGTTAATGAAAGCTTTGTCGAATATGTACGAGAAACCCTCAGCATTGAACAAGGTGTTTTTGATCAGACAGTTGGTTAACACCAGAATGAGGGAGGGTGCTTCCGTTACCATTCACATCAACCAGTTTAATTCGGTCATAACTCGGTTAGGATCAGTTGGAATTAAGTTTGATGATGAACTTCAAGCGTTGCTGCTTTTATCTTCTTTGCCTGACAGTTGGTGTGGAACAGTGACTGCAGTTAGTAGTGCATCTGGTACTACTAAGTTTACTTTTGAAGGAATTCGGGACTTGATTCTAGGTGAAGACATCAGACGCAGAAGTTCAGGGGATTCTTCGAGTGCACTGTTGAGTACTGAAGGCAGAGGAAGAAGGAATGAAAGAGGAAGCAACCGTGGTAGAGGCAAGAGTCAGTCCAAGCATCG